TCATTTTGCGCCTAGAAGAGCTAGCTGAGGCTAGAGGAGTTCCTTTTGACGACTTAGTTCGTGGAGCCCCTGAATTTCTTGCTGATGGTGCTTTAATTTGGTACCGCTCTATTAAGAGTCTCGTTACAGACTGGGAGTCTTTAAAAACCTTATTGAGGGATGAGTTTTTGCCTGTCGATTATCAAGCATCATTAATAGAAGAAGTTAGAAATCGTCGCCAGGGTAGAGATGAGTCTTGTACTGCTTTCATCGCTTGTATGATGGGGTTGTTTGAGCGTCTTGATTTTGAAGTCCCTGAGAAGAACAAGCTAGAACAGATTACTAGAAATTTAGCACCGTATTACCTGCAGAATTTAAATATAAAATCTTTGATATCTATCAACCATTTGAAACAAGAAGCTAGGGATTTGGAAGCAAAGAAGAACCTGGTCGAGCGTTATGATAATAACAATCGATCTAGGAATGTTTTGGAGCCTGATTTAGCCTATAAGCAAAACCCTAGTGGTGCTGCTTCTAAACCTTTTGTTTCTCAACGGCGTCCGGTCGTTTCTGAAGTGAAGGTACCTGCTGCTGATCCTGAGACAAAAGTTGAGCCTGTAATTGTCAAACCTAGCTCTAAATTTAGTTGTTGGAACTGTAAGTCAGGTGATCATAGGTTCACTAACTGCCCTAAACCAAAGACCAAGTTTTGTCATAAGTGTGGTCATCCCAATGTTACAACAAAGGATTGCCCCAATGAGAAGGCGGGAAACCCCTTCTAAGGTCTGTCGAACCGGTGTCAGATCTTGGGAATCCTTCAAATCCGGCAGAAGAAATTATGGAGATTCGTCTCTCATGTAAGGATGATGACCGCATGTATGTTGATTTGTCGATTTATCAAAGGAAGTTTTTAGCCCTGCTTGATTCTGGTGCTAGTAAATCTGTAATTGGTGGAAAGGGTTGGGATGTTCTCAAGAATGTTCAAATTAGACTTCAACCTAGTCCTATTAAGTATGCCCGTGTTGCTAATGGTGCTGTTACTGAGATTATCGGTACAGTAAATTTGCCTTTGAGTTTCGATGGCCATTTTGTTGTTTGGGAATTTGTTGTTGTCCCTTCAATTTCTCATGATTTAATTTTGGGGATTGATTTTCTCAAGAAGAATGAAGCCATTGCTGACTTCGGTCGTAAAGTTTTGATTTTACCACCCTTAGAGTTTGCTTGTGATGAGCTAGTAGTTTCTAAAGATTCATTGCCCGAGGATCAGGTGAAGAGACTTGAAAGTTTAATTGAGAAGTACCGTTCCAGTCTAGGAAGGCCTGGCCTCGGCCGTACTCATTTGATTGAGCACACTATTGATTAGGCCTGTGCGATTTTTCGATTAATCGAAAACTCGATTCGATTATTTTAGTAATTGACGATTTTTTTGGAGGGTCGATTTCGATTTTCATAATCGAAAATCGAAATGAAACATCAATTATTGACGTTGGTCGATTATTGACATTTTTCGATTATTGACCTTTCAACAATTATTGAATTTTAACGATTATTGACTTTAGTCGATTCTTGACTACAGGAAACGATTTCTGTCCCCGGCGGCGCCGGCCGGGCCGGCCCGACCTCCATCTGTAGCCTGCCCGCAGGGCTCGGCTTCGGCTGTACTAGGGTAGCGGGTAGCTAGCCGAGGTAGCAGATCACAGAGCAGCAGAGCACAGCACTGCAGCATCGCGTGCGAGGCCTGTGGCAAGCACAGCCTCGGAGAGGGTATTCAGTGTCGGCCGCAACGTCGTCACTGATACAAGGGCCTGCCTCAGCGACGACCTCTCTGAAACCCTGATTTTTCATTTTTCTATCTTCCAACAAGGACCTAATCAAGAAGCCTCTTGGCCAAGTGTGATTTTGAATTGATATTTAGAATTAACCATTTTGAAAAACTAGTGTGTCATTAGGTTTAGTAGTCATTTGTAACATCTGACATCTGTATTTTTGTAATTAAAGTGGAATTTTCAATTGATAAAGAGAAGGTCTCGTACACTGGAAATGCGAGTGTGTGAATGTCGCTCACCTACTTGCATTTCCAGTGTATGAATTCAAATAACCGATTCTTTGTGAACTGTTACTTGTCTCCAATAGATTTTTGTAGCATTTTCCTCAATTTATAATTATTAATTTTGCAAAACTCGATTATCTCATTGAAAATTGAAAAAATCGAACATCGAGCAAAAATTGAAAATCGAACAAAAATCGAGAATCGAAATAAACAAAAAATCGAAGTGGTTATCGGTAATTGACCAAACTCGATTTTTTTTTCGATTTTCGATTTTTTTCGATTCTCGATTTTAAAAAATCGAATCGAGCCCAATTTCGATTATTGTAAAAATCGTCGATTACGATTATTTTTAAAAATCGAACAGGCCTACTATTGATACTGGTGACGCTCAGCCGGTGCGTTCTCCTATTTATCATTATTCTCCTAAGCTTCGTGAAGTTCTTCATAAAGGCCTTGATGAATGGTTGGCTTGTGATGTTGTTGAGCCCTCAGTTAGTCCTTGGCGTTCTTCAATTTTGCTAGTTAAGAAGCAATCTGATGATTATCGCTGGGTTGTTGATTTTCGCCAGTTGAATAAAGTTAGTAAGCCTGATGCTTATCCTATGCCAAGAGTTAATGATATTTTAGATTCCTTGAGGGATGCAAAGTATTTGTCATCTATTGATTTGAAGAGTGCATACTTCCAGATTCCTTTGGATAAGGCTTCTAGAGAGAAGACTGCTTTTGTTATCCCTGGACGTGGATTGTTTCAGTTCACTAGAATGCCTCAAGGCTTGAATACTTCAGCTGCAACTTGGCAGCGGTTCATTGATTCTGTCGTTGGCTCTGATCTTTCATCCAATGTCTTTGTTTACTTAGATGACATTATCATTGTTTCTAAGAGTTTTGAGCATCACATGGAGCTGCTGACTAAAATTTTGGATCGCCTTATGGTTGCTGG